GCAGTTTTTGAAACTTTTTTGTCTTTTCATCTATTGTACCACCTTTTCCTTTTATGATTTAATCATTGTTGCAAGGTTACACATTTAATTTTTTCTCCTTTTTTTAAAAAAGGGAGTTAATACATATATATCATTCCGGAGTAGCCGGCCCGGCCCGGCGCGGCGAGCCCCGGCCGCGGGTCCCCCGACTCGGGCGCGCCGACTTGGAGCTGCTGTGAGGGAAAGCCGACGGGCGGCGGCGGGCCGAGCGTGGGAGTTTTCAGGAGCCCGGACTGTCCGCCGGAAGGGTGGGTGAGGGGGTCTCGGGAAGGCGACCCTTGAATTGGGTGGGCACCTTAGGGGACCCAAGTGGCACGATCTGGGTTGCGAGGGGGGCGGCCCGGGTCCCGCTGGGCGTGGGAGTTGCGATGCGGAGGGCAGCCGTCGGTTTCCAAACGCTGGGCTTTCAGGTCGGGTCCCTGTCGCCCCTTTCTTCCCGCCCCGCTCTTCAAACTCCGGGACTTGGGACCTGCCGCGGAGCCGGGGTGCGCGCGCGATGCGCTGGCCAGGCTCCCAGCCCGAGACGGAGCCTGCCGGCCCACTGCTCCCCGCGCCGAGTAACCGCTTCCTTTTCTTCCCGGCTGTGCAGGCTCCTGCTGGAGGAAAGCAGGGTGACCACCCACCAAGACCTCGCAGCGCTGAGGATGCTCAAGAGCCCGGCGACCCCAGGACCGCGCACCACGAACGGGTAAGGCGGCACCGAGTGGCGCGCGGGCGAGAGCCACGGGGCTCGGGGTCCCGGCCGGCCGGCCGGCCGGAGATGGGGCGAGGCTGCTCCGCCCAACTCGTTGCCACTTGTCTGTTTGGGACTTGTCCTGTGCGTGACTTTCGCGAGTGCATGCACGTGTGAGCGTGGGTACACTTCGTTCGATCGCAACCTGCCTTTCAAAAGCCCGCTCCACGATGGGAATGTTCTTGGAACCAGGGTGGGGTGGAGGTGGGGGGCACAGGTCGCGGGTTTCCATTTTGATACCGGAGTGTTGAAAATCCCAGGGAGAAGCAGCTCAGCCCCTCTTAACGGAGGGATTTTATTGGTTAGCGTTTTGTGTCTCTTGGCTCTAAAGTGCACTGGTGTTAAGATTCAGGTTCAGAAGATGGAATTCTGTGCACGTTGTTGCAAAGGCTTTTGGCCTTAGTGACTGTAGACTTGCAGTTTTTCTTTAACATTCATCAGTATATGATCCAGGTGCAATAAATATTTGGCTTTAATCTTTTCGTGCTTCATGCTGAAAGTTAGACAATAATATATAAAAGGAAATAACATGGGCTCAGAGCCTCACCAGCCAGAGATAAGGTTTAGATTAATTTTCTCTCAATAGTTTTATTCTATACACATATATCGTAAGAATATGGTTAAGCTTATACTTTATATACGTTTACCTTTTTTACTAAAAAAACCCCAAATGTACATGTCATTAACATTTTCTTCAAAGCATTACTTTAGCTGTTGCATAATTTATCAAATGGAATGCGATCATCTATTTTTTTCCATTTTTAGACTTTGGGGTTGTTTCCTCATTTTGTTTTGCTTACTGTCAACAATTCTAGTAAAATGTACATCTTGCTGTAGATCTTTATCTTCATTTCAAATGAAATCAAAGACCGAATGATGGAAGTTGCTGAATATTTACATCGTACATCCAAATGCACATTGCCAATTGCTTCCTGGAAGGGTTGAATCCCTTTCCATTGTCAACGGTAGAAAGCTCTGCTAGGTTCCTCACCATCGCTGTGATTTTGGCCCTCTCCACACCTGTCCCTCTGCCTTTCTTGAACCCCTTTCTTCCCCGTAGCCTTCTCTGTATTCTTAATGTGCTGGGTGACTCAGAGCGCCTATGGAGTTCTCCATGGACATAAGAAGGCTCTGACTCCATGCACATGGAAGACAAGAACAACACTGCCTACCACAACCCCTGGCACACACAGCCACCCCCTCCCCGTCCCTCATTACTAACTGCAAGGTCAGCACTTGGGATCCACAGTTGCTCTGTGCCAGTTCTGGTGGCGTTCTGCTCTGTCCTGTAGGATCACTGTGAGTTAGAACCCACCCAATGGCATTCAACAACAACAAAAGCAGAAAGCCTAGTGTGACAAAAAGCTTTAGTGAAAGGTATTGGCCTGTAGTTTTATTTTAAAGTCTTCAGAGGTTTGAGGCTTATAGGTAGTCCAGCCTGAGCAATGAACTGGGGGGCGTTCCTCTGTTTCCAAACCCTGGGAGTATCAGATTTACTGGGGTTGTCCCTTTGAGAAAGCTTGGAGGAATGCATTAATCAAGTCATCTGGTTCTAGGCCTATTCCAAATTTTCCAGTTTTCTTTTCCAGACGTCTTTTCTACTTAGCATATTTCTTGAGATAAGACAGGTAGTTCTTTTTTTGTTTTTGGATAGGGTCCATGAATATTTTTTAATATATTACCAGTTTGTTAAAGAGCCTTGGTGACAGAGGGTTAAACGTTGGTGGTTGAAACACACCAGTTACTTTTAGTCTTTGAGGGTGAAAGATGAGGCTGCTTATTCCCATAAAATATCTAATCTCGGGAAATTTATCTGACAGCTCTACTCTGTCCTATAGGGAGGCTCAATGTGAGTTAGAATCGACCCTCTCTTTGGCAGTGGGTTTTGATTATTTTGGTGGGTATCATTTTTGCAGTTTTTGAAACTTTTTTGTCTTTTCATCTATTGTACCACCTTTTCCTTTTATGATTTAATCATTGTTGCAAGGTTACACATTTAATTTTTTCTCCTTTTTTTAAAAAAGGGAGTTAATACATATATATCATTCCGGAGTTCAATGACATCAGGTTGCACATTTTAATCCACCGCTTTACTTGGATCTGTAAAGAACTTTTTGATTTCTTAAGTTTTCTATAACTAGCCTGATCTTTCTCTTTTAGCCCCTACCCTCTATGTAATGTTGCTCAGAGTAATGATTGCTGATAAGCATACCATAGAACCCTTCTAATTAATCTAAACATCTTTCACTGATCAGTTCACTAACACTCAAATAACACTACTCAGTAGAAGCTATTATTATACCCACTTAATAGATGTGGAAACTCAGGTACAGAATTAGTTGCGTGAAGTCAGAAATCTAATAAATTATGGAGCTCAGATTTACGTACAGGTTATGTGGATCCACATTCTCATATTCTTAATCTCTAGTGTGTTCTCTACTGTAGGGATGTGTTGGCATGCAAAATATTTAATCTACGTTAAAGCTTGGTTGATATGTACATTGCACATTGTCAGTTGCTTCCTAGAAGCATTGAATGAATCCCTTTCCATTTTTACCGGTAGAAGGCTCTGCTACGCTCCTCACCATCGCTGTGGTTTTGGCATCGCTGTACAATTTAAGCAACTCTTGATTATGTCTTAGAACACGCATTCAGTCCTAGATCGCTCCTACCATCTGCTGCTTCTCCCTCTGACGCGCCTGAATGGCATACAGGTGTATGGGGGAGAGGCACTTGGATGATGTGGTGGTCAAGTTCAGACTTAGGGCTCATGGTTATGGCACCCCTTTATTCTTCTGATCTCTAGGATGATGTTTTCCCTTTTCTTCTGGTGGTTTGGTACCCTTTGTATAGCCAATTGTGGAATTGGCTGCCTGCGGTCCATTTTTCCTCTTGGACATTGTTCCTGCTGCTCTTGGCCTGACATGAGTGCCCACTGGGCACTCCATAGGTTCCCAAACTTAATTGGCCTACCACTTCCTTTTCAGAAAACAAGCAAACAAACAATTTAGCACTCCCCACTCCAACAATTAAAAACCTTTGTTCTGTGCCAATAATCCAGAATAAAGTATAGGACTTTGTTTTTGCCCCCCACCCTCCCCCAACCCCACCCAGTGACCTGGATTATTCTAGTACTCTAGAGGATCTGGCAGAGATTTGTTTTGGTCTTACCGTGGGCTTTCACTTTGCAACATGCTTGTGATGCTATCTTAGCCAGTTATAGCTAGCTAGCCCCACAGGCAAACTCTTAGGTGTTTTGGGGCCCCACCTAAGTTGGTTCAGAGAAGTTAAACGTCAGACTTTCCCTCAACTTGCCCATCAAGTAGATTTGACCCTGTCATGAGTTGATTCTAACCCATGATAACTCTATAAGGCTTTCACAGTTATGACCTTTCTGAAGTGGCTCTGGATTGATTCCACCGGCCAAACTCTCAGCTAGGAGTGGAGGGCCTAACTCTGTGTCACCCAGGATTCCCCTCTAGGCTAATTTCCAAATGAAGTGATTTATTTCCAGTGTCCTAATTGGGAGTAAAGGAGCCCTGGTGGTACAGTGATTAAGAGCCTGTGATCACCATAAAGTTGGATGTTCGAATCCACTAGTGGCTTTATGGGAAATAAATTCTGGAGTTATGCTTCCTTAAAGATTCCATTTGAATACCCCAAAATGACGAAGTAAAGGCTCTGTACTGAGATAGGTAAATTGGAGAAATAGTCTACTAATATTCAGAATAAGGCCTTATTACACGGAATTATTTTTCTTTCTATTAAGATTTGTTAAAACCTTTCATTGTTGGTATGTTTTTTCACAGAACTATTTCTTGAATTTAATTTCCAAATTTCATATATTTACATATTTTGTTTCCTTTGTGTTACTTTTATTTTATTTATTTTTTCAAACTTAAGTTCCTGAAATGATCTATTTGTTTTTTGCCTTTGTCTTTGCAATAAAAGAAATTAATACTATGACTAATCCTTTGAATGCAGCTTTGGACTTATTTCTTACGTTAAGATCCATAGTACTCTACTTTTAAAATGTTGTAGCTATTAAAATTCTACTATCATATTCTTAAAGATTTCTATTATAATCATAATTATTCACTTAGCGTTATAAGTAATTAGGATATTCTTAATTAATTTTTATTGCATACTTTTCATTTTTATTTAATTATTAAAAAGTCCATAAACCCTGCTATAATATGTTGGATGAGTTCACAGATACTCAGTAATTAAAAACCTAGGGTTGAATTATTGTGAGTTTAATTACACAACCAGAGCAAGGCTGTGTAATTAACAGGAATGGAATTTGAGGCTCCGTCCACAAGAACAATCCAGATCCTTGTTACAGTGTGGCTTTTAGTGGCAATGATCCACTCTGCTTCAAAATCCATGATGATTATTTAGGCTCCTGTATTTGGTTAGGACTTCCAGAAATCTTCAGCAATTCTACGATTCCCTTGCTTATTTGATTCCAGTGTCTGCAGCTCATCTAGGATGATTGAATGATGAAATCAGAGACGTTCTTCTTTTAGAAGAACTTTTACTTGTCCCTGTGATAGAAAAGGCACGAGGCAAAGCGCACATGTCAAAGGCCACGTATGTTATATCCCAGTTCACATTGTTGTAGGGAGTACTGCTACAATTTTACTGTATCGTTTTAGATGAACACAAAGAAAAGAAACAACATCTGATCATTCAACAATCTCTGATCATTCAACATATGAAAAGTGGCTACTGTTGGTATTCTCCCCACTTATCTCTCAGTTGGGGTACTGTGGTGCTTTGCATGTTGGTCTGATGGAAGTACCACTGGAATTTCAAATACAGCAGATTGCCCATGATGAACCTGTTTCCGTGCAGCTTAAAACTAAGAACAGATTTGAAAGAAAGAAAAGGCAGTTCACTTTTGAGAAATTAGCCATTGAGACTCTTATAAGCAAGCAGCAGAACATTGTCTG